CCCAAATAGAACACTTAATTTCTAGAGCTAAGCTACTCTCCCCACCTCTTTTTTGCCATAAATTCTAAGCCTCTTCCTCCCTGTCTTATTCATCTTGGTTAATGCCATCGTTGTCTATTATCTATTGCATAAGCTATCTGCAAAACATTTCAGATATATTTTCAAAATGTTTTTAGAATCCATTCATCTCTCTCCATCTTTGGTGCAATAACCTAGTCCTTCACCAGACAATTCTTAAAAGGTAAAGCAGCTACCAGGCATCTTAAAGTCTTTCAAAAGCTTCTCACTGCAACTCAAATCAATTCTAAAAAACTCACTGTGGTTTTTGAGGTCTGACATTAATTGGCATCAACTGAACTTTGTAATTTTTTTTCTTTTTTTTGCCATTTCCCCCTCACTGCCTACTCCCCAGCCATATCAATCTTCTTTTGTCCTATAACACCTCAGTCTCTTTCCCTAGAGTCCATATATTTGCCTTCTCCTCTCCTGGGGGAGTTCTCTGAGCTTTTTGGTATCTTTGGAACTCAGCTAGTTGAAGTGGTCTCTAATGACCACAACATCGAAGTCCTGTTCCCCCTCCCTTTCATTCCTTATTGGCAGCAGCCTGTGTCTCACCCTCACTATAATAACTGTGACCTTGAAATGTTTAAGACTTTGATTGATGCCCTCCCTGGACTGTAAGCCCCACAAAGGGACTGTGTGCCTGAGGTGTTGTGGTGTCACTAGCATGTATCACAATAACTGCACACAGTGGAATTCATAAATGCAGTTGTATACTTGTGTCGGTGGTTCTCAACACTGGCCACACATTCAAACTATCAAAAGGAACTTAAAAATAAGTGTATCAGTTCTCAGATCTCACCTCCTGAGACTCCAATGTAATCATTCTTGTGTGCGGACAAGTCATCAGTATTTTTAGAAACCTCTTCAGGTGATTCGAATATATACCCTGGGAAGAGAATTAATGCCCAAAATTATCTATGGGGGCTATTCAGATATTACTAAAATCCTAATTTGGGCAAAAATTTCTCAGACCTAGTTTCTAATTGACAATATGAGTAAGCACAAAATAGCTGACTTGCATAGGTTTCAGGAGACAATGACAGTGTCAGAAAAGTTAGATGATGAACGCTGAATATGAGCCATCTGGAGGCTATGGCAAATGAAAGGAATATGCCGTAACAGGATAGTAGGTCAAAGTATGAGTCACTTGTGGTGAGTGAAACTACTGGCAACCTAAACCAAGAGTCATTTCCTCTTCCTGTCAACCTGGTCTGGCACTACCTCATCAGGAAACCTAAGGAGATGCTCACAGTATTGTTACTCTGGGCACTCTGGCATGTTCTAGGTGCACAGCCAGGAAGGCCTCTTTTTCTTCCCCCATCTTCATGCCTCAGGAGGCCAAGTCTAGCTTCTAGTGGGAAGGCAGATACCTGGAGAATGGGCCAGGAATGACATCAGCATGAGGGAAAGGGGAAACTGGAGGCTGAGGAGGAAGGTGTTTTCTCTGTTGATTGAGGAAAGCTACCAAAGCAGAGAATTAGGGGAGGAAACAGTGCATCAGAGCTGCCAGCGATCTCTCCAGGGATGTGGTTCCCACTCGAACTAAAGGTCCTCGTGTGCAGTGTCTACCCTCTGAGTGTGTGATTTGCTGGTTCCTGCTGGGAGTGTGATAGAGCTGTCCTGCCCCCACCCTTTCACAAGCAGGGTTTAGAGCTGGGGTCTGCATAAGCAACTCTAGGCAAGCATCTCCCAGACTCCAGCGAATCCCGGACCCTGTATGTATTCTAGGAGATTGAAATAGTCTGTGACTCGCGTGACCTACTGGCCCATCCAAGCCAGAAGTCACAGACCATCAGTCCTTTTCACTCTCAAACATACACCATTTAAAAAAATAAATAGAAAATTTTAGAATTAAAAAAATAATAATTTTGGGCTTTAAAAAATGGATGATCTGGAAACACTAGGCCTTTATCATCTACCGTACACAGATTTGGAAATGGCTCCTTCTTTTATTTTCTCTGCCCCTTTCTTTCCTCATTCACAAACCTTTTTTTTTTAAGATTTATTTACTTATGCATACAGAACTGGGGTGCAGGCAAAGGTGCAGGGGCAGTGAGAGGCTTCACCAGAGACAGAGAGGGGAACAAAACAGGCCGACTGACGAAGTACAATGCCGAGGGGAGCAGTGGGCGGGTCAGGAGAGGTCTGCCCCACTATGTGGGTCACCTTAGGGGCTGGTGATCGAACTCATGCTGAAGTGGCTTTAGCTTCTTAGTGCTGTGCTTAACCCACTGTGCCACGAGGGAGGGCCCCACAAACCTTTTTTAAGCATCTACTTTTGCAAAAAAGATCAAAGATAGAGTGTAAGCATAAGGTCCGTTTGCTCCCATATATATTCATATGCTCAGTTTTTCTTTACATTAGACTTGGCCAAAGGCTGAGGTAAGAAGCTGAAGTTGGATGAAATTCTACATTTTTATGATTATGGTATCTCCCTGCCAGATAAGTATTTTCTTTTTTTTTAATTCGATGTTCTTTGACTCATCTTGCTTTTCAAATACTATTATTTTGTCTCTACCTTTGAACAATCCAATAATTTGTCTTCAAAATGGGTTGTTCTGAATTTCATTTAGGAGCTACAGTGCTAGATGGCTATGCCAGTTACTAAGCTGTTATGTCTTGACTTCAAACAGTTCTTTTCCCTTCTTTGTGTTACTTGGTCAAGACTCTCAGATTGCAGTTCTGCCCTGTCAGCTACTTCCCACTAGATTCAGCCAAGAAAGAGCCTGAGAACAGAGGGGGCACTGAGCAGGTGAGGAGGTTCTGCCCCTTCTGCTTTGCCATAGGAAGAACATTTCTCCCACAGACACAGCTGGATTATTCCCAAGAGCTTTACACACTTCCAGAGCTGCCTCTAGGGTCCCATCTCAAAGGTCAGAGTCCCAGAGCCTGGTCTCTCCTGTAACCTCCAGGCCTGGTGAATCCAAGCTCTTCCCTTGGTTCTCTAGACCTTGGGATGGTAGCTGTTCTCTCAGATTACCATCTTTGAGTTACCTTAGGGTCTCATTTTCATTCTTTTTCAGTCCTGCAACACCTGTATAATCAATTCCCCACGGCCATGGTTTTGAAACTTGAGCTTACATCAGAATCACCTGGAGGCCTTGTTAAAACTGATTGCAGGGCTCCACTCCCAGAGTTTCTGATGCAGGAGGTCTGGGGTGGAGCCTGGGAATTTGCTCTTCTATAAAGTTCCCTGGTGATGCAGATGTTGGGGAGCTACTTTTCAGAAGGAACATTATATTCGCTCTGTTAAAATAGTGTATATTTTGTTCTTCAGCTGACTCCTTGAGTCAATGAGCTTCATGAAAATAGACCGTGCAGAGTCATCAGTTGGACCTCATTGGTTGGGTGGGGAAAAGTCATCCCCCAAAACCCATTTCTACCCTGGACTTTCCTATGAGATTGAATCACTCTCTTGGCCTATCTGTCCTCACTCTGTGCCTGTGCTCTTGCTCCTGTGCCCAGATGGCAAAGTGCTTAGTCTTTTTGATATTTCTTCCCACCTGTCTTTGACTCATGCATATACCCTCTGTGGGTCCTGGGTGAGCATGAGCTATTTCCAGACATTTCTCTAACCTGTGCTTTCGAGCGGCCAAACTGACCTCTCCTTTGGGGCTTGCTTTTTGAAGCCCACAAATACATGTTGTGCATTGAATTTTTTTTCAGGTTCAGAGATTTAGATTAGAATCTTGTTAGAGAGATACAAGAGATGCAAAAGATTTAGATTCTGTTCTCCTAGGACATATTTAAAAACTGTGTGACCTGCTTCTGAAAAATATAGAGAAACTCTTAACAGAATTCCTACTTGAGAAAAACTACTTTGGTTGGGTGAATCATTTGATTAGTAAGAAGTGGGTAGGGTGAGACACCAAAAATTGTGTTCAGGTAATAGTGGATTGTGGCAATACTGACTTTAGAGACAGTGAGTCTGTGCTAACTCAGCTTTGTTTCAAAGAGAAGACCCAATGTAACTTGTGGCTGAAGTTGAATCATGTTGGGGAAAAGACTAGTGTCAAGGGGTGTGGGGGAACAGTGGCAGTCAGAGGCAGCTACAAGAAGAGCAAAGCAATCTAATAGGAATTTTTAATACATTGCTGCTGCAAGTTGTTATCTATCTTTTCATGAAATCATTAATGACATCACTTATTTCTTGGGAATATGACAAGGCACAGAATTTCTTGCAAATGTGGTAAAATCAGAGAGCTTTCCTCTTACAGAAGAATAACTACATGTGTGTTAATATATTTATTATTTTCTTATCTCCTCTCTCTCTTTCTAAATTTATCCTAAGCACCATGTGGTACTGCTTGAATTTCACCCTTTCCATCAGGCCTGGTTATTGAGTAGTACTTTGTTGTTAATAAACTAATTCCTGGCTTAGACAGTTATCACTAGATCACACAAAGTACCTAGAAACCTGAATATGGCATCTTGTAAGTGAGTGGAGCACTGGCCTTTAACTCACCTAGGATGATCTCTATTTATTTTTCTGATTATGAATAAATTAATGCCCATTACTGAGCATTTAGAAATAATACAAAGAATGAGAAAAATGAAAATTATCTATAATTTCACTGTTCAAAGTTTAGCCACTACCAGTAGAATATTTTTCCATATGTATATAATGTTATAGGTGTGTATTTACAAAATACATATAATATAGGTATATATGATATATAATATATATAATGCAATAGGTGTGTATGTATATGAAATCTTATTTACTGTTTTTTAATTTAAAAGTTAATTAGTATTTTGTATTAACTGAACATATAATTGAATTCCCTATTGTTGGATATATTTTTCTACACTTTTGCTATCAATGTAATGGCCCAGTGAAACCCATATATCTATAACATAACTTTATGTTTGGGTGCACCTGTTCTTCTATACACTGAAAAGCACATTTGGCTTCAGGGGAAGACTACTGTACTTACCTGAAATGAAGCTCAAAAGATACAAACCTAGTGGACCATGCAGAGTTTCAAAGGGTTTTCCAAAAGCATTGTACATGAAGAAGGCTGTCCCCACCATGGTTAAAACAATAAGGATCACAGAGAAGAGTATGACGTTGATGTGGATGCTCAATGGGATGGCTTTGAGCAAATCTGGGAAAACTGAACATGAAAGAACAATTAGAAGAAATCTTAGTAGTAGTAACCTACAAGCATAATTTTAAAATTTAAATCTGGGGACTCCCTGGTGGCACAAAGGGTTAACTCTCAGCACTATGAAGCAATCTACAGTAACTGCAGCATGAGTTTGATTCCCAGCCAGGGAGAGGACCCACATGGCGTGGCAGACCTTTCCTGCCTCACCTGCTGCTACTCTCAGCAGTGTATTTCAGTTAGTCTGTCTCTGGTGAACACTCTCACTATACCCCCAACCCCCTCCCCACACAACCCACACCTCTGGCCTACACCCCAGGTCTTGTATACATAAATAAATAAATAAATAAATGGTTTTTAAAAAATTAAATCCTGTTTGAACTTCCAAAATTACTAAACTCCTTTAGACAATACACTCTTCACTAATATATAATGGATTTTGTACAAATGTATATTTGTAAAATCGCATTTACAATGGGATTTTTTTATAGAGGACACTAGTAAAAACTACAAGGAGGGGATCAGAAAGTGTCTTTTCTTGTCCTTGAGTATATTTAATTTCTTAAATAAACAAGTGTTGGCTTTGTAATCAAAAAGTATACATTCTGATTACCAAAGTTTTAAGGACATTTCCCAATAGTCATTTTTTATTGTTTTTCTTAAATGATCTTAACTTATAAGTACATTTTTAGTTTGGGGATATCTAGTGATAGTGAAAACATCAGGAGATATATATATATACATATATATATATACATGTATATATATATATATGTATGTATGTATATATATATATATGTGTATGTATGTATGTCTATATACATATATATATAGCTGTAAAAATTATTTCTAATCCACAGCAATATTAAAAAATAGGATGTTTTCAAATTCAGTATTTTGATGTAGCACAAGCTGTGGGAAAATAATTCCTGGTGACACAAGAAATATTTTCCACTTGGAAAAAACACCAAATCTATTTCTAGATTTTGTGTTCAGGGCAAGTTTTCCTTGTTTGTAGAGGAAATAAAATACTTTATAAATGTAGGGTTTTCTCTTATCTGGCAAGGCATCAGCATGCTGAGCCTCAGCAAACCCAGCAAGACCAGTGTGGAGAGGTTTAGTTCAGTCTACTTTAGTTTCCTAACCATTTATCAAATGTTTGATTTCTTGACTGAGCCCCTCCTATGTCCTAGGCATTGCTCAATGTGCTGTAAAGAGAGCCCTTAGACAACATACACAAGAGACAAGTCAACAAATACTTGTAATAGTTTATCTCCAAAGGTGGCTGACATCATTATCTCTTTCCTTTTACACACGTCACTTCCCCTTTAGGAGGTAGAATTTATTTCTCAATCCCCTTGAACCTGGGCTAGCCTACAACTGCTCTGAGAGCTGAATATGGCAGCAGAAGTTTACCATTTCAGTCCCGGTTCCAGATCACAAGAGGACCAATCATTTCACCTGTTTTCTCATTGAGATTTTATAACCAGTGGCTGAAGCCAATGACTGTTAACAGGTGGTGTCCCCTGAAGGGGGCTGCTGGTGTTGTTAGTTAGCCCCTTTGGAATGGAGACTCTGATAGGAAATATAAAGACTGCAGAAGCAGCTCCAGGATTTCTGTGTTTGGAAGTGAGCTTTCCAGTTTGAGTGCTTGTGCTTCAGCATTTGGTATTTCAGTGTTTTTGAATCATCAGCAATTTTAGGGTCAGCTATTTTTGCTCCAACCATGCAGATCTTCAAGAAAGTTGGTGTAGGCCTCTGAAGAAGGTGGAGAGGGTTTTCACAGCCAACCTCTGGGAGGAAAATTTCAGAAAGTTTGCAAGTAGCCAAGCTACTGAAATGGTTTCCAGTTCTGCTTTTGTTCCAGCCTGGCAGAGAAAGCAAAGATCAGGAGCCCAGAGGGTGTGAGCATGGAGCTGCTGATTTGGGGCCATGTGTTGGGCCTCTGCAGCTGCTATTTTGAGTGTCACTTGTCTAGTGCTGTGCTGGGGGATCTCTGCAGCTCTAGTGAACATCTATTGTTTGTCTTCTGTGGTCTTTGTGAATTGGGTCCAGCCTGTAGTCTGGTTGCCACGTTCTCTAGGTCCCCAGAGGCAGAAAGACACTAGATTGGGAGTGTTTGTGTTTAGGACTTTTCCTCTCAGAGGCTGGCTGTTGAAAGCCTCTCCCATGTTCTTCAGAGGCCCACAACAGCCTTCTTGAAGATCTGCATGGTTGGGGCAAAGAGATGGGTGTCTGGCCTAAAGTAGTAACAGTAGAGGTAGTAAGAGGTTGTCAAATTTGGACTATATCTTGTTGAAAGGAAGGAACCAAATTCCTAGATTTTTGGCCTGAGCCTATTAGCCATCAGTATGTCTTCTCTGAAGAAATGTCTAATCAGATCCTCTGGCCTTTTTTAATTACATTCTTTTTTGTTGTTAAATTGTATGATTTTTTTTTTTTACTTTTTAGATTTTTAATCCCTTGTTAGACATATGCACCTATCTTTACCCAATCACTAGTACGTCTTTCTTTCTCTTGTTTTTTGATGATAGTTTCTTTCACAGCACAGAGGATTTTAATTTGATGCAGTCACACTTTATTGCCATTGGAGTAGAATCCCAGAGACATCTCTGAGACAGATGTCAAGAGCATATTGCCTATGTTGTCTTTTACAGTTTAAAATCTTACATTCAAGTCTTTAATGCATTTTTTTTTAAGATTTATTTATTTGTGCATACAGAACTGGGGTACAGGCCAGAGGCTTCACCAGAGACAGAGTGGGGAACAGAAGAGGCAGATCGACGAAGTACACTGCTGAGGGGAGCAGCGGGCGGGCCAGGAGAGGTCTGCCACACCATGTGGTCACCTCCGGGGCAGGCGGGAATCGAACTCATGCGGAAGCAGCTTTAGATTCTCAGTGCTGTGCTTTAACCCGCTGCACCACCAGGGAGGGCCATCTTTAATGAATTTTTAATTGACTTTTGTCCATGGTGTTAAGAAGCCACAGTGTAATTTCATTCTTTTGTATGTGGTTGACCAGCTTTACCAACACCATTTGTTGAAGAAACTCTTTGCTCACTGTATGTTGTAAATGAGTTGTCCTTGTATGTATGCATTGTGAGAGTTCTATTTTAGACACTTTAAATTTGAGATGTGTTTAAGGCCTCTTAATAGGAGTGTCAAATAAGCTTTCTCTGTCTGAAGGTCCAGGATGAAGGTGAGTATTTAATAAAGAGGCACAATGATGAGGCAAGCAAAGTGCCTAGGGTGTAAAATCCAAAAAGACAGCCACTCTAGCTTCCAACCCTGTACTTGTGTAAGTATGAAGGTGATAGTCTCCTTACACTTTATGATGTAAGTGCCTTCATGGAGTCAACCTAAATCTGGCCTTGATTTTTAAAGCCATGGGAGTGGCTATTGCCTGTGGACAATCAGTAGCTAAGAGGAGAGAAGGGCTGATAAAGAGCCATGAGGCTACCATCCCAATCACATTGAAGAGGAAGAGTATTCAGCCAGTAAGGCTGAGAAAGCAAGTCTGTAAATTAGGACAAATATAGGGTGTGGAGGCCAAGGGAAAAGGAAGAGAAAGTGATCAGCCTACAAATGTTTCATACATTTATTCAAAAGCAGGCCATACCTGTGCAGATGCCCATGGCCACAAAGTTCTACATCTAACCACCTGTCAGAAAGTCACTGGAGGAGGGAGTTAAATGGATTCAGAACAAATTCTTCACTGTCGATTCATATAACTAACTACATGCATGCATACACATACATAAAACATGTTTACTATTAGCTAAGGATATCCTCCTCATGAGGACTGACAGATCATTGTAGCCTGAGGATAATATTTTAGCTAGGGCATAGGGAAAAAGGGACTAGAGTGTAATGTGTCACTATCTCCTTTGAGGCCGCTGAATGTTCCCGATAAAGCATTAAAATGTAGTTCATCTCTTGCTCCTAGAATTTTTGTCTTATGGATATTTTTGCATATAATCCAATACAATATTACCAGGGTAAGTCATTGCAGCATTATTTTAGTAGCAAAAATGTTGTACATGGTTTATACAGCAAGCAGTAGTAAGTATAGCCACACAGTGGAATGTTAGTCAAAATGGAGCAAACCTCTAAGACCATCTATGGAATGATCATCAAAATGTTAGATGAAAGCTCAGACCAAATAAAGAGAAGTATGCCTCAGTTTTCCACTTTGGGAAATGTCAAGAGGACTATATACACTAACATGTAATTATTTAAGTACATATCTGATTTAATTTTCTCAGCAGCCCTAGTGAGATAGGTACTATTATTAGTCCCACTTACCAGAGGAAAAAATTGGAGCTCAAAGGTGATGGAGCAAGTCCAAGATGTTTACTAAGCACAGATTTGAACTCAAGTTCTCCCCTTTTACAACCATGTGACAACAGCCTCAGGGACAGACATGTCTTGGCAGAGACTAATTCTGAAAAGGCACACACAGTGCTCCTTGGGAGGACGCCTGGGAGCTATTTCACTATGAAGCTTTCCATACTGTTGGGATTTATTTTTCACCTCCTTGTAAGTATGTCTATTCAATAAATATAACACTTTTTTAAATGATAAGATGAATGAAGACATAAAAGTCCCTATGATTGTTCTAGATTAAAAGAAACTTCAAAGATTAACCACATGCAATATATTGTTCGTGAATGTTACGTGACTTGAATAAAGAATTTGTAAGAGACATTTTTGAGATAAGTAGGGAAAATAATATCTAATACCCAGTCTCAGGGTAACTACTATTTGTAACAGGATGGTCCCCAGGAAAAGGGGAGGTTCCAGGTTTCCTGCCTCACCCAAAGGAGGGTGGAGCTAGCAGGGAGTAAAAGAAACTGGAGAGGAGACTGAAGAGGAAGGAAGCAGACAGAAAGCCAGAAGGAGACCTGAGGGGGGAGCATGGCGCAGAGAAACACGTGAAGAAGCTTTGTCTTGTTTCTTGGTCCTGGACTGGTTGAAACAGATATGGGTGAGAGACCCCTGGGGAGGTT